TTGTACAAGCATCAAGTGTTATCATGATTTCTAAAAATAAATCCAAGGCAGATAAAGCAATTTGGACGTGAATAAAACTGTGTGTGTTTAATAATGATCCGGTCCGTTTGTATTTGCGCCCTCTAGTCTATTCTGACCAGTGACACTTTTATCGTGCAATGTTTGAAAGTAAAACGTTCAGGCCTATATAGTGATCAAACCGGAATGGCGTACTGTGACCTAGTGAAATGAAACAGTTTGAAAACAAAGTGCGAAAGGTATTGAGATTATCCCAATTTTCAATAATACAGCATAGGACAGGATGTTTGAGATGTCCCGATTTCCTTTATACTTTCTTCCGTGGCCAACTTCCGCATAACCTTTTATACTGAATCAGTCAGGTGATTGCCGGAAAAAAAAGATGAGCGCATCTCATCGGGATTATATGTTTGATACAATAAACAGGGAAAACTAGCAAGATAATAAAGGGGCTGAATAGTCATACTGATTTTATGGGTCAAGTGTCGAACTTTTGCAAGATTTCTTTCTTTTCACACACAAAAAAGGTTTTAATTTATTATCTGAAATATTGTGCAAGTGCGTGAACCTCAATAAAAATATATATGAAACGTCATGTAATACGCTCTTGAAAACCTTCAGCCAGGTATGACTGGAAAACTGGCGAACCTAAATGGCAATACAAACTATAAAACTTTCATGAATTTATAGTGTGCTATCGGTAGTGACAAGAGTTCAAGTAAGTTTCTAAGCGCTAGAGAAATCAGTCAGAATTTTGGACAATTGTTTATTGAGAGTGCACCATGGAAGTAGCAGCGATAATATCGTCAGAAAGGAATTCCTTATTCCGAACAAATGAAATAAAAACCCTGAATAGTTTGCTCTTAGCTTTTATTGCCTGAATCTTTGGCCTCACAAAATGTTGGTATGAATTTGCAGCAACTGTTCAGATTAAGAGCTAATTCAGCTATATTAGGCCCCCCCCCCAAAAAAAGTCTCCGATTTCTGGTATGCGCGCGCGTCGCTGTGGGAATGCGCGTCGGCAAAATGAAAACGTTTTTTTTTTAATGAAAGAGGATGTCTCAAAACCGCCAAAATCACTGGTTTGACTGGAATCCTGCTGCTGCACAATTTAAACGTGTTTTTAGATGGGGTTATGATCGCGAATAAGCTTAATGTGGCCTCTCTAGTCTCCCATAATATTTGCACTAAGTTTAGGGCAACATTTGCAGTCATCAGCCGACATTTGAAGCCAAAAAAAAAGGTAAAAAAAAAAAAACGCGTTGCCGCACAACTTTTTGGGCAAGCTCCATACCAGAAACCGGATACTTTTTTTGGGCCTGATATACATTATAATATTAGGTGATTATTCAAGCACCTATCGATAAGTTATCGAGTTAACGTATGAAAACGGGATCATCATGGTCAGAAATATTTACAGCGCACTGTTTTGGCTATAAGCACATTTTTTTTGTCAATATCGTAAATCAAAAAGATCAATCCCAAAGTTGGAAGAATTATAGTAAAAGATTGTTGCAAACACTCACCGTGCAATTCTTGTTCGCTCTTGCAAAAAGTTCTCTCGGGTTGTTGTCTGGACGTGGACATGAGCTGCAGTCGTTGTGAGGAGTGAGCCGGCAGCTTGTGATTTAAATATTGACGTCGATTTCCCGAGCAGGGACTGAGGAACTTGCATGACCGGTTTGTGATTGGCCCCTGCGCGCTGTCAATCACACATCACCGACTCGTTCCATATCTGTAAGACGGAAATGATGTTAATGTTACATTGCCACACGTTAAAACCAAAGCTTGTATCACCGACACTCAAATAGACGCATCTAATTGGTGGAATGATTGTATGGATGTCGGTGACACATTCAAACACGTGGATTGTGATTGGCACCTGTCAATCACAGACCACTCACTTGTGGTCACCGACTTGTTGGGTGACTAACTATGATTGGGGGATAGAATAATGCACCGGCACCGGCCACGTGCACCGGCCATACGTGATTCAATCAGTGTTTGTTTTGCGCTTCGTGTTATTTAATGGAACCACGCATTTGGTGGCTAGTATTTTGTAGTCAGGTTATGCAGTCTACATTTTTGATAGAAAAACGAAGGCGTAATAATTATGCTTGAAAAGAAATATCTTGACCCTCACCCAACCAAATCCATTCCCAAACTTAACTGTTTCGATCTAACCATGTGAAACAGTCTTCTTTCCTTAACTAAAACCCAAACTTTCAATAGCCTAAGTACGAATCCCCCAGGAACTCCGCTCCCATCATCCTTTCCACATCCTTACCACCCTAGGGCAGCCCACGGCAGATCCCGAACCCCAAATGTATGCTAAGGCGGCTCGAGATGGGGGGGGGGTGTTTATTTAATGCCAGGGTTCTGTTGTTTTCCTTTCCATTAATATTTCCATTAAGAGGAAGAGGATGAGTAAATCGATTTTACAACAGTCGTGTCGTCTATTGTAACTCTTGTAAAATAATCGATTGTTTTCTTTGTTTCCAATTGATGTGGCTGCTTTAATTCGCTGTAAAGATGTATCTAATCCACCTTGCTGGTAGACAGCGGCGTAGCCAGGTTGATTAGGGAGGCTGGGGTGGGGGTGTAGGGGGTTGGGGTTACACACACTAATAGAAAAAAATGTCCTGCAGTCGCCCCCCACCCCCCCCCCCCCCCGCCGAAATAAATAATTCCTATTGACCATGCAGTTATTAAGTATAACAGAAATTGCCCCTCCCTCCCTCCCTTATTTCACAAACAAAAGAATTAACGTTTGTTATCTACTCTATTTTATTCCTCAGATCATTCAAAACGGCTGATTGTTTTGGTCGGCGTCTTATGCACAAGTGAATGACTTTTGTAGCCTTAGAAACAAATCTATTCCTCGGAGCATGCAAAAATCGAGGAAAAAACGATGGGGCTGTAATAAACTAAGTATTTAACACATTAACATGTGTCGGGTTGATTTCCTAGGTCGATTTTATTTAAGTTTATTTACTTCTTGTTCGCTACAGTGAGCCGTTTTGTTGTCTCAAATCATGACAACAAACCCCGCCTATTTTTCTCCTTTGTAGTGGATTTGTTTTGATGACAGGACACGTCTCAACAAAATAGCCTGATTATCAACATAAACTTAAGTTTTTTATTCGTTACTAATAAAGTAAAAAAAAAAAATGAAAAAAAAACATGGATAATTAGCTGTATAACAACTCGCAAATTCAAGCTTTCAAAAATGATGGGATGGCCTAAATGTTTGACAATCCATCACAATAACTTTCTCTGCACGTTACTTCAGTGAGGAACTAAGTAGAAAATACATTACAAATCGCTAATATCGAAAGTGATGTAGCCCTATCGATCGATTACCAAAGCTACACGGTGCTATTAAAACAAACCAGCCATTAGCAAATGCGGCGGAACCGGTGGGGGGGGGGGGCTGGGGGGGGGGGGGCGTTTGCCCCCCAGATTTTCCCAAGTGCCCCTTTTGCGGCCATAAATGTGCCCCCTCGATCACTAAAGTGCCCCCTCGAGATAAAAAAAATGCCCTTAAAGTATCTTACTATTCTTAGAAGTAACCATTTTGCAATAATGGTATAGATATTTTTGATATAAACGAGGAATATGAAAATCAAGTCCCAAAAGCCATACAATACGCCCTGAAAATGGGCAAATAATGCATATTTAGCATATAATCATTGGTTTTGAAGAGCGTCCCCTATGTTGGAAGATGGTACCAGCCCCCCCCCCCCCCCCCCCCCCCCATTATTTGATTTTACGGAGGACAAGACAGTGTCCGGTGAGAAAAACGTGTCGACATTTCAGCGAGGGTTTGCATGTGCCCCTTTTTGGTGATGCCCCCCCCCCCCCAGTTTCAAACCCGTTCCGCCGCCGCTGTTCATTACACACAGGTGTACACCCTTGGCTGTGCTAGGTTCAACATTCTTAATATAAATACTTTTTTTCCAGAAGGCACACGTTGAGTCTTTTTAAATAGTGCTGAGAAGAGGTCTTTAAAAACAAATACAACAAAAATGGTTAGATGCAGTGGGAATTCCAGCTATTTATATAAATGTTATTTTGTGAACACTGCAAAATTTTAAAATTGAAGGAATTTCTGGTTCTTATACTTCTTTGTATCGGCCTTTTTTTTTAAAAACTTTTCAAACATCTGTAAAAACATAAAAAAAATATACAATATATTCATAACTGTTCTTTGATAATTGCATATTCTGATTGTAAAAATTGGGTGCACAAACATCTGAACAGCAGAGTCGGAAATAGCCAAATATCTCTACAAAGTAACATCAAATCATGAGCCACTTCAAAAAACTATTAATAAAGCAACAATACAGTTAATTCAAACTCAAAACTTGCTGAGTTTAAACTAAACTCTTATTAAAAAAAGGGTATATAAACAGTTTTTTTCAGAAATAATTCAGGCCGTGGTTCACAATATGATAAAGGTACGTAACGTCACCCATACATTCGATACTATGGTGCGATTCAAATTGATACAATTTTTTTCCAGCGAGAAACAAAATCTTTCCGAGGATTAATGATATCGGGGCGAGTCTCCACCCAACTAAGAATAACCCAACAGGTGCAGAAATATATAGGTTTTACAAAAGTCATAACGTATTTTGCATGTTCACATATCAAAAGTGAACAAATAACATATGTTCTGAAATATTTTATTTGTTCACATTTTTATTAAAACTGTATTAACAATATTTCATCCCACAGTGGATGCAAATATAATTGTTGTCAACAAGTTTAATGCATACTTGTTTAATATCTCTCAAAACTTTTCTACGAAAAGCTAATTATAACGAGCACTCAAAATTGTAAATTTGTATTGCCTATACGGAACTGTGCGTTGCAAATGTAAACAAATACATTATTTATTCAACCATGCATTTAAATTCCCGATTAGATTATAGGAACAGATTTATATTTCTTATTTATTGGTTCATATGTTTACCAGCTTAAGAAATGACAACATATTTAGAATGCTGCTGTCCGACTGGTTATCCCAAGAAGGATAGATCGTTAAGCGGACATGCATCCATACTTCAGGAACTACATTGGCTCACAGTTATACATACGGTAAGGGTTGAATTCAAGATCTTTTGTTAGTTTTCAGAATAATCCGTCGAGTTGAGATCAGTTCAGGAGTTTAACATTCGCACTAAAAGCTGCGACGGGGTTAAGTTCAGCCACCCTAAAGTTTGTCCAAAGCCTAGCAAGGCATACAGGGATTGTGCTTTTACCATGTATACATCTGGGGAACAGACTTTCAGCTTTATTGAGAAATGTTTATGAATTTGGAATTGTTCAATCACGGCTTAAAATATTATCTTCTGAAAATGAGAGTTTTACTTTTATCTTATTTTTAATGATTTAAAAAAAATTGTGTTGATGTTTTGTAAACCGTTTTGATATATCAATGCTAAACGTGTATTTAAAATTAATCATTTGTATCATACCTGTTAATGGTACCCATAGGAGACATTTTGTTTATTATTATTAAATTGAACATCATTTCTGTTAAATCATTGGTTATTGTTTCGGCAAAATAAAAAAACGAAACATTTTGTTGCGGGGAAGCACTGTTCCTGTATATTTATGCGTGGTGATTATTTATTAATTAATTAATTGACTCCGGGTAAAGGAGGAAGCCACTGAATGAGGTGTATTTATAGGTGGAATCACTATACGCCCTACCGTACATGGTAACATGCACCGTATCTCCACGCTGCAGAACCAGCACCGCGCTTCCAGACAACTGACCTCGTTGATTTGCTTGACCATAGGTGGAAATCACCTTGTGGTTGTTTTTAACAAGATGGATGTTAAAGCTACCGCTGTTGCTATTCTTAAGAACAGAAAACATAAATACGTAGGTACCCGGCACACTACAGGTGAACGTGCCGGTCTCGAGATCGAAGGTGGTACCCGGCAGAAGCGTCTCGGTCTGCTGGAAGGGCAAACGGGTGTCGACACTTGTAGATTCATCCGAGCTGCTCGTCCTCACCACGGTGAATGCCACCCGCTGGTTGGAGTCGTCTGGTGTCTGTCCTGGCTCACCCTTTTGACCTTTGACACCAGCCTGACCGACTGCTCCAACAAGACCCGGTGGGCCTCTCGGACCTATCTTTCCGGGCAGGCCAATCCCATCGTCACCTTTAGACCCAGTGTTCCCAGGTGCTCCCCGCTCACCAATAGGTCCAATCTGTCCAATCTCACCTTTGTGACCTTGCTGGCCTAAATCACCCTTTGACCCTGGCTGACCGTATGGCCCCATCGGTCCTGCTGGTCCAGGCAGACCTGGTATACCTGGTATTGCAGCAGGTCCTTGGCAGCACTGCTGACTCACCTGAGACGCAGGGCCTTCACCATCCGAGGGAACCGGCCCAGTAACGGAAGCTCGGAGCTTGACAGAGTTACACAGAAGGAGGGCGATTGACAGAATGGTGGTCACGCAGATCTTCATCTGTAAAGAAAGCAATAAAGGGGCTATATATAAAGCTAAAATAAAAAAAAATAATAAGAAACAGGTAGATTAAAGAAATAATGATGTTACATTAACTAAAGAATTTATCTAAAAGACATTGTACGACTACATAATAATGCTGAGGAATCATTGTTCAGACAATGTGTTCGACGGTGATATGACAGTGGCCTATCCGGGGACAAGGGGATTACATTTTATGAAAAGGCGGGTTCTTTTGTTAATTGGGTGCCATGGCAACTGTGGCTGTGGGGAATCCACAACTGTTTTAATTTTTGTCAGCATGATTGGGCTTGTTATTACTTTTGCCCGCCGATAAATGTTATGAAAGCAGATCGAATTACATCAGGGTTTTTTTTTTGTGGGGACGGCCCGCTCTTTTTTCGTTTGTGAAAGAATCAATTAAATATCACCACACAGACCTCGATTGCTCGTTCTTGAAGACATGAAGATCAGGTCCAAAGAGAGATCACAAGGAGTTCACTGTAGGCTGAAAAAAAATAACAACGGAAACCGGCAACGTTTATACTTGAGTGGAGAAAGATATAATGTTATCATCGATTTTAATAAAACTGTGAGTTTTTTTCATATTGATAAATCATCATTCGAAATTGGAAAAAGTATACACTAATAAATAACGAAAACAATATTATTGGACCGGTATTTTTTTCGGACGAATACGTCCAGAAAAACAACCTGTTTTAATGTGGCTATGTAAAATTGTTCGGGAAACTGAACGCTGCCTGAAATCAGTATTCAATTTCTACAAACGCTTTTATTAAAACCTTTATTCAACTTAATTTTACACCACCACCCCAAAACAAAAATATGATTTTTTTTTAGGCACTAGTTAGTCATTGAAATGTTTTTGAAAACATAATTATGTGAGTTTTAAAACAAAAAAATCTTCATTCAAATAACTTTTTCCCCGTCCAATTTCACACCTTGCCCCTTCAATAATTCAACGCTTTCTTTCAAACTCGCATACAAACGGGCAGGCAAATTTAAACCCAGTTGAATTTAGCGAACGATACAAATATTTAAGAGTATATTAAATTATATTAAAAACATTTTTTTTTCTGGTGGTAATTACCTTCATTTTTGTAATCGCTTGTTTAAATATAACTGTTGTACTTACATTATCCAACTTTGTATTGGTTTATTGGAGAGTGCTAAATAAATGTCAACTGAATTGAGTTGAATTGAATGTATTCATTATAGGCCTACGCGTAAAAAAGTAGGCAATTAACGTAACTTTGCATTGTATTTATTGTGCTTTGGATTTCGGTCCCGCTCGGGAATTCAATTTCATGCATACGTTTTTAAAAGGTTACACATGTTTAATGAAATCGGGTAGTTTAGCAAGATCAGTGGTGGATCAAGGGGTGCGGAGGGGGCGCCCTACCCCTGGCATTGACCGACATTTTCTCAAATAAGGCGAAATGTCACTTGAGAGAGCCCTCCCCCTTTCTCCGACACAATAAACTCTCAGATTTGCCTTGAAAATATTGCTTAACAGTATTAAAACAAAGCATAGATTGACATGACTTTTGATAAAGTGATATGAAAGAATGTACAAAGAACATGTAAAATATCAGGGAAGGAAACATGAAACATGCATATCAGAACTTAAAGTGACTAAATGATAGAAAGAATGAATGTTTGAGCACTCGCCCAAAATTAGGCCTACAACGAAATAAGACAGATTTGTTATTTGTTGTTATTACTCTGTGGAAATAAAAAGATAATGAAAAAGATATTCCGAAAATCATTCAAATCTTTTCTTATCTGGTTTACATGCATATCTCTCTTTTATTTCTTTTAGTTCTCTTATTGTTTGGGGTTTGTTTTGCGAAACTGCTTGTATGTACATAAACATGAACAACTCCAAAAAAAACATGTGCGCGTTTCTTCATTAACCAATTTGTAGAACCCGGGACAATTTGACTAGGAATCTTAATCTTGGTCACATTTCTATGTTATATACTTTCCCGGCCACGTGGTAGCCTTGCCCGGGGTCATCTTTCACTAGATCCTAGTATGGACCACGGTACATCAACCAGAGTGGGTGGGTGGCGATCTGGTAGAGGGGTTAAAATTGGCGGGAAGACCTAGTGTGCTTTTGCACATTTACATAGGCTTTATACAATTGCACTGTTCATTATAGGGATTGCATGGATCACCCCTGCTGACCAAAATGAAATAGTCAAATGACATAAACAGGGCAACTCTGTGGTTTAAATGGCTGTTTAAGGTGTGAAGGATGCAAGGGGTGCTGGTCTGGGTTTGAGGGCCGGGAGGCTCAAATTAAATAGAGGTATAAAAACATTCCATGCAACGGCACGATATAGGTCGAATAAAGGGGCAGCTGCGGGAAGGGTTAAAACCAAAGTTGCTTAATCTAAATTGACAGTGTTCATATACACCGAATTCATCGGAAAGTTGGTGCTTTAAACTTTGAAGTCGGATAGAAGAGCAGACGGCCCGAATATTTTTTACAAACATCAACTCTTTACATGATTACCAGAAATGAATCCAGCCAGATAAAGCAATTTGAACTTGAATAAATTTGTGTGTGTGATCATAATTCGGTCCGTTCGTATTTGCGCCCTCTAGTCTGTTCTGACCAGTGACACTTTTATCGTGTAGTGCTTGAAAGTAACGCTTAGGCCTATATAGTGATCAAACCGGAATGGCGCACTGTGAATTAGTGAATGACACAGTTTAAAAACAAAGTGCAAAAGGTATTGAGATTATCCCAATTTTCAATAACACAGCATAGGACAGGATGTTTGAGATGTCCCGATTTCCTTTATACGTTCTTCCGTGGCCAACTTCCGCAAAACGTTTTATCCTGAATTGGTTACAGTGATTGCCGGGAAAAAAATGAGCAGATCGCATCGGGATTTTATGTCTGATACAATAAACAGGGAAACTATAGAAAGAAAACAAAACGGGTGATTTAGCATACTGATATTATGAGTCAAGTGTCGAGCTTCCGCAAGATTTCTTTCTTTGAAAACAAAAAGGTTAGGCCTAAAAATTTTCATCTGAATAATTGTGTAAGTGCGTGAACTTCAATAACAATAAGGAACTTGATGTAATACACTCTTGAAAAACCTACAGCCAGGTTTGATCGGAAAACTGGCGAATCTGAATGACAATAAAAACTATAAAACTTCCATGAATTTATAGTGTTGTTTTTCACTATTCAGTATTTGGGTAAATATTGTGCGTCGAGAGTGCACTATGTAAGTAGTAGCAGAAATATTGTCAGACATGAATTCCTTATTCCGAACAAATAACAAAATCTTGACTACTTGCTCTTAGCTATATCATTGCCTGATTTTGGCCTCACAAAGTGTTGGTCTGAATCCGCATCAACTGTTCAGACTAGTTCTAATTCAGCTGTAGTCTATGCATCATAATACCTGGTAATGATTCAAGCACCAATATCGCATGATAAGTTATCGAATAACCGTATGGGAATGGAATCATCATGGTCGGAAATATTTACAGCGCACTGTTTTGGCTATAAGTACATGTGAGCCAATATCATATATCAAAAAAGATCAATCCCAAAGTTAGCAGAATTATCGTAAAAGACTGCTTCAAACACTCACCGTGCAATTCTTGTTCGATCTTGCAAACAGTTCTCTTGGGTTGTCGTCTGAACGTGAACATGAGCTGCGGTCGTTGTGAGGAGTGAGCCGGCAGCTTGTGACTTAAATATTGACGTCGATTTCCCGAGCAGTGACTGAGGAACTTGCAAGCCCGGTTTGTGATTGGCCCCCTGCGCGCTGTCAATCACACATCACTGACTCGCTTCATATTGATGAGAGGGAAATGATGTTAATGTTACATTGCCACACGTTAAACCCAAAGCTTGTATCACCGACACTCAAATAGACGCACCTAATTGGTGAAATGATTGTATGGATGTCGGTGACACAATCCTACACGTGGATTGTGATAGGCACCTGTCAATCACAGACCACTCACTTGTGGTCACCGACTTGTTGGTTGACTAACGATGATTGGTAGACAGAATAATGACGTACACCGGCCCTATGTGATTCAATCAGTGTTTGTTTTGCGCTTCATGTTATTTATGGGGCCACGCATTTGGTGGCTAGTATGTTGTAGTCAGGTTATGAGGTCTGCATTTTTGATAGAAAAACGAAGGCGTAATAATTTAGCTTGAAAAGAAAAAGTAATAAGAACTTCAATATATTGTGTGCATAATATCCGGTTCTTGTACAGTTGCCGCCCTCTTACGATGAAGTATACTTATTTTGCAGAATTCAGCCGTTCCCCGAAAGGCACCTTAATTATAACCATGTCTATCCCCATCCACTAGTCAAACGTGCGCTCGGCCCGGCCAACTTCTCGGCATGCAATCGACCTTGAGCGGGCAGAACCCCCTCCCCGCTTATTGAGGCACTCCCACCTCCGCTTATTGAGCCCAACCTATACCTAAAACCAAACACATAATTAGGCCAACCCCGATCTTGACCCTCGCCTAATCAAACCTAATCCCAAACTTACCCCAACTGTTTGGATCTTACCATGTGCAACAAACTTCTTTCTTTAGGAAACACTAGCATTCAATAGCCTGATCTCCAAGCCAAGCACGAATCCCCAAATTGAATCCACGCCCCCCCCCCCCCCACCATCCCTTCCCCCTCCTAACCACCCTGGGCAGCCAACGGGGGGTGCTTATTTAATGCTTATTTAATGCTAGAGTGATGTTGTTCCCCTTTCTATTAATAGTTACGTCGACAGGAAGAGGAAGAGTAAACCTATTTTTACAGCATTAACAGTCGTGTCGTGACATTTGTTTTTCGTTGGGTAACCTATCGAGTGCCACTGTTTTTAGTTATTCATCAATTTTCTGCTGATGACAACTAACAGTTTTCCCCGCTAAAATAGATCGGCCTATCAGAATGCCTACTGAGAAAATTTTAAAAGACGGTGGCCCA